ACACAGGAGGCTGAGAGCTGCAGGAAAAGCTGTGAAACTCTCATCTCCAATAAACCACCAGAAAACTGGAAGTGGCACTGTGGCTCAAGTTGTAGAGCGTTAGCCTTGAGCTGAAGAGCAGAGGGACAGAGCTCAGGCCCAGAGTTCAAGCCCCATGACCGACAAAAAAGAGAACAAAACAAAGCAAAAATGAAATGATATCCAGATGAGAATGGGACAACAAAGCTAAAATCCTGTCATTTTTTTCTTCTTGATCCCATGCTTCTTACCAGTTAAGACCATAAGGTTATAATGTGCATGGATTAGGTAGATGCATCCTCAGCATTGATAATCAAGAACAGGAAAGAGCAGATGTGCCACAACTCATTCATTAGTGATGACATACTGTTTAATCATCTTTTAAAGCATGCTGTGCTCCCAGTTGGGAGAAATATAGGAATATGCAACACAAATGGATGCTCTCTCAGTGAGTAGAGATGTATGATGAAGGAAAAGTATCAAGCATCCTGCACCAGGGAAAAGGACCCCACGATAAGTTCACTCATACATTCAGCTTCAGATGGACGTGTGTGTGTGTGTGTGTGTGTGTGTGTGTGTGTGTATGAAAATCAAGTTTTAAATGTGAACTGGAAGAGTTCCCAGGGAAAATAAGTATACTCAAGAGGAACCACTAAATATCTTCAGTTTATTAGGATAAGCCAATCAGTAAAAAAATACAGTCAGATTTAGTGAAAAAATTGTACAAATCTAGTTGGATCCTGAGGGATTAATACTGTTCAGTGATATAACCCTCTCAGGAACAAAATCTTACATGGAATATAATTCATTATTTCTTGAGGCCTTTTTCATTATTGTATTTTCCTTATTATTATTCCTACTAGAACTCAAATAGTCTCTCTAAAAGAATTTAATCTGGTGAAAAATAAGCTCCAAAGAATGAAACAAAAGGTGGTTCCAAATTACAACTTTGATGCCAAATGGCAGAATAAGAAATCTTTAGTCTTGCAGAAAACAGGCATGAGACTATTGGATAATCCTTACATGTCAAGTAGATTTTCAGGTATTCTCATGCAGATAGCTTTCAGATATTTATGAAAAGTCCTGATTTTCTATATTCTCTCCTGTTGTCAGATGTACCAAAGACTTTGAAAAACTATTATTTGTTCCTTAGTGTCAATACAGGTAAGCAGAAACATTCCTGTAATACTTACTTTACAAATGGTAAAGGATTATGTTCAGGGATTTGAAAGACATATCTAACAAGCAAGTGGTAGAACTTAAGACTTGTATGATATCTTTCATTATAATCAGATAACTTCTTGTGAGTGAGGTTCTTTTATGTCCATTTGGTAGGCTCCAAATTCACAAACCAGGTAAATGATCAAATAAAATAACCACAAGTTCTTTGCTTTAGGAATTAGTGTTTATTAGTTCAAATATCTTAAAAACAATAAATGTTAGATCAGATCTCTTAAAACAGTAAATTAGTTTATACTAAAATCTAATTAAAGATAATAAACAATTACAATCTAATAATTGGAAACAAGAATGACACTTAAGTGTGCCTATATACCTCAGCCAAAGCACATGACAGAAAATCTGTGCTCCCTACTCCACTGCCATCCACCAGCCCTATTTCCCTTAGTTTTAACAACTTCAAGCCTGATTCAGAATAATGAGCTGCTTCTCCCTTTGTTCTCCTGCATATCAAACAAAACCTGACTTTGCACTGTTCTGAAGCAGACCCAGAAAAGTATTACTTTCAATAAATGGTCAGCCTCCATTCTCCCATAAGAGATTGAAGATTTCACTCACAAGCATCTACCTCTCATTCAACTTTTAAGCACATGACCTGCGTCAAAAACCAACCAGAGAATTTAGTTGTGGAAGTGGGAGGGAAAAGGGATGGTAGGGGGAAAACAAAGGAGGAGGCATCAATGCTTGATAAGAAATGTACTCATTACCTTGTTCATGTAACTGTAACCCTTCTCTATAGTATTTTCACAATAAAAAAACATAAAAACCCAACTAGATATTTCTATGAACCTGCTGAGGCCATAACTCCAAACAACAGTTTCTTACCCTGAAGAGCTGTAGAAATCTTGATGGTTTAATAATGTTTTTCTCTCCCCTAAAAACACTGTGCTTGCCTGCTTGCTATAGTTCTTTTATTTCTTGAGTTCTTATCATTCTTAAATCTATTTTTAATTTTCTTCTAAATAGCAAATGTAATTTTTAAAAATTCTGTTTCTTAGCATAGGGTTAGATTTTAATTTCTAAACCTGTAAAAATCTCCACAGTTAAATCTTTCTGGATGATCCAAATCAACAAGAGGCTCCGCAGACTGCAACATCTCCCTGCTTTGACACCCAAAACCTGACTATACTTACCACCATTATTTGCTCAGACTTGTTCAAGTCTAGCATGATTTAAGCTGTCTCATCTTCCTAAACATTTCTCTTAATGCTGTTTTGATAGCCTGCTTAAGTTAGTGTAGTTGCTGTTTTCTCTCATGAGACATTAATAGTCTTAACCAGCTCACATTAATCTGTTTTAGAATTGTTATAAAGTCTGTATCTCAGAGCTCTACTTTGATAAGCTATCCATCAATATCTGATGGCTGAAGCACATCAGGTCTGTACTGATTTTGTTGCTTTGCATTTTATTGACAAAAAGTTATAGTTGAATTTCTTAATAATCTGAATGAATTCCCCATAAGGACTATCCTCCCTGGCTGTTCTAAAGCCTTTAATTAAAGCATGTTTTTTAACCTGTGTATAGTATTTTTATTCTTCTTACTGAATGTTCTTACAATGTAAGAAGTCTACTAAATGTATTGTTCAATGGATTAACTTGTTTAGCCATTACCAATATACTTTGTGCACTGTTCTATTGACATGGAAGAATAAAGTTTCTTCCATTTTCAGTACACTATTTAGGTTAATTTGAAATATATCAGATATTTGCTACTTTGGATATCCTCACACACCTGGACTCGTCTACAATGGGAAAATTTGTTCAGTTACTACGGTAGCAATGTCCCACAATCTGCTGCCCAATATGGCTTGTAATTGCTCACAGTAGTAACTCCCGATCACCATTTTTATTTTTCCTACTTGGGCTGTTGTTTGCCCCTGAAAATCTCTTAGATCCTCATTTACACATCAATCTTGCCACAGAAAGAGTAGTCTGTTGTGGGACATTTTAAAACTGATACATGGAATAAAATTGTTAATTCTAACTTTCAACAGCATCTGCATTAGCTTTTCTGAACATAGAATTTGCTTGATTAAATTTGTTAAAGTACTTCATCTGAAAAGTCAGTAGACAAACTAATTTATGTTTCTCCTGTTACTGTTCATTCAAATAAGACCTGATTCTACAGCCTAGAATTGCCTTCACCAATTTATCTTTACAGCTAACTATTATGTATGTAGACCTTACTTAATATTACATACAGTGTGCTTAGCATTGAAATTACCTATATTGTCATTTAAACATTTTATTGTCACATGCTTAATGACTACATAAATTGTTGTGGTCTGTTTCATACCAGTGTGGATTATCTTGAACATGTCATTCATCTATGTTTTTTTGTTTTTTGCCGGTCATGGGGCCTGAACTCTGGGACTGAGCACTGTCCCTCAGCTCTTCAGCTCAAGGCTAGTGCTCTACCATTGGAGCCACAGCTCCACTTCCGGCTTTTTCTGTTTATGTGGTGCTGAGGAATCGAACCCAGGGCCTCATGCTTGCAAGGCATGCACTCTACCACTGAGCTACCTTCCCAGCCCCATGTCATTCATCTCTGATTTGCACATACCACCATAAAAAAACTGTCCATCCATTGATAGATATGTCTTTTCCTGGTTATTGCCCATTTCATGAGATACAGAGGCCATATCTTAAGAAGTCCATAGTATCCATCCATGGATTTGTCCAAAGTGTTGCATACCTAATTTGCCACATGAATTTGAGAGAACTGGCTGGCCTAGAATCGATGTCATCTGTGAGTTTCCTGCACATTTATTCCTTTGTCCCATTGAGGAAATGCTCCAAATGTTGTATTTCCTCCTCTGGTATTTGAAGAATTTATGTGTTAAATACCAGTCCACATTTTCTTTATATTCACTATTAGAGTAACCTCTCAATAGCAAATGTTAGCAGACCATGTTTTAAACTCAGTTACATCCAACAACAAACTTTTTCCACTTTCCCTCCTGAAACATCAGCTGTAGGTCTAAATATTAAGTGGTTTGCCTTTACATGGGTGAATAGTCTTTGTAGGGCTTGATACAGCCATCCTCTCTTCTGCATCCTCTCTTTTACAACTTTTGAAGATGTACTGTCTCCATTAAGCAAACAATGCTTCAAAGCAGTTTCAAGATGTATCAGCATTTCTAGGAACTGTTTACTGGGACCAATTGGCCTTAGAATTCTCCAAGGTTTCTCTCTGGCAGTGGTCATCTAAAAACCTTTCTGTAGTGGTAGCATCTCATAGATATTGCTCTTTTGGAGTTATTTCACTTAGCTTGCTATAATGTGATTTCTTGGACCAAGTTCGTCTTAAAAACCCAGTAAGGACTTCTAACTTTTCAATAAGTGTTTCCATAATATCCTGTCAAGACAAACATATGCACCATAATACCAATCTGGAGGCTATCCCCTTTCTAAGCTCTACTTATTGTAGAACATGTCCTAAGATGTGATGGAGATCATCAGTTCTTCACCTTGTTGTTAGATAGGGTGGATTCTTTGCTTCTGTCATCAGGACTCCTGGAGGACAAGTAGAAGGCAAAACCATAACACGAAGTCAGAACTTTTTACAAAAATCAAAATAAGACAAATGTCTTTGCTGGAAAAAAATCAAATCTTAGCCCATAAACTTTCAATAATAAAAAAGTGTAGTAAAAATATGTAGAAGAAAATGCTTATTACTAATGTGCAGAAAAATCAAGAGAAACAAGCTTAGCTCTCACATGTTGAAGAGCATAAATTGACTCTTACTCATTATTTACATCATCATTATCAGTAGGTATCACATCATACAGGTTGTCGATATCTAACATTGCTTCATCAATGTCAAGGATGAGATCTTCATCTTCTTTTAGTGAAAGTATTGACTCTAGGTCGGAGAGATCAGCAAGATCTGGCAATGGAATTTCCTCGGAAGGAGCTGAACTGGCTTCACCTTCTCCACTTGGACCTGGGTAAGGAACTTGGTGTTCCTGTGAAATAAACTGCAAAAGCTCTTCAGCTATTCTTATTAGCTGGGCTACACACTCAACAAGTCCACTGACCAGCGCAGGAATTGACCTGGCCTCCATTGCTCTTCTCACCTGATGATAGTAAAACTTGTAGAGGTGACAATGTTTCTTCAGGTGGTTTAGACAAGAGATATGGATGTTTTGATTATGATAGTGTTTAAGTCAGGCCAGTAGAACTGCAGAAAATTTTTTGGTGTTGGTGAACTTCTCAAAAAGTGGCACTCTTGTCCTCTTGTCACAGCCAAGGGAAGGCAGAAAAGCAGATCTAATAAAGAAAAGAGAAATATATGATTTACTACTCTTGATCTACATTTTGTCCTATAAGATTCTATCCACAGAATACCCCTACTGAGAATTGTGCTTAATGCTAAAAGATGATCTCTAGCTATTGTTCTTTCTTTTTCAGACACCCTTATGAGGACTAAATTTCTTATGGTCTTTATCCTTTTGTGGGGAGCAGTGAGAAAAAAATGAAAACAGGTTGTTGGCTGTCTTTGTAGACCTCTATTAAGAAAGTATATACCCACTCAAGGTCTTGAACTCTGAGCATGTTTATTTCATTGCCATTTATATCTCAAGCTATTACATGTTTTCTATATTCTTAACAATATATTCATTTAAAAATAATCAATTCATTGAAAGTTACAATTACCCAGCATTATGAAGACAGATGTTTTTGTGAAATAAACTGCAAACTTTCTTTAGCTATTTTTATCAATTTGGTATAAAATCAAGGAGCCTATTAATTAGTACATGAATTGACCCCAACCACATACTTCTATTACTGAAAGCTATAGTCAAAAGCAATGGATACTGTGGAGTTGGCAATTTTTTTTTTGTCGGTTGTGGGTCTTGAACTCTGGGCTTGGACACTGTCCCTGCAATCTTCAGCTCAAGGCAAGTGCTCTACCACTTGAGCCACAGCACCACTTCCGGTTTTCTAGTGGTTAATTGGAGATGAGAGTCTCATGGACTTTCCTGCCCAAGCTGGCTTTGAACCGCAATCCTCAGATCTCAGTCTCCTGAGTAGCTAGAATTACAGGCATGAGCCACCAGCGCCTGGCTGACAACTGTTATTTATAGTTGATTTGGATAAGAAATGATGGTGCTGATTTGATTATGATGCTAATCAAGTATTGAATAAGGACAATGGTCGTATGGAAACTTTGGCAAAGTAGCACTCCATAAAATTAATTCTCAAAGCCAGACTCTAGTGGCTAAGGTATGTAATCCCTGGCTGAGATCTGAGGATCACCGTTCCAAGCCAACCCAGGCAAGAAAGTCCGTGAAATTCTTACCGCCAATAAACCACCAGAAAACCGGAAGTGGCACTGTAGCTCAAGTGGTAGAGTGCTTGCCTTGAGTTGAAAACTCGAGGGACAGCGCCCAGGCCCAGAATTCAAGCCCCACAACCGACAAAAAAAAAATTAATCCTCAAAAATCAATAGCTTTTCTGTATGCCAATAATGTGAAGAGTGAGGCTGAAATCAGGAAAGCAACTCGTTTTGTAATAGCCCCTCCCCCAAAAAATACCTAGGAATTAACTTCACCAAAGAAGTGAAGGACCTCTATTCTTTGTCTTTAAAGTCCAGATATTTGATCTGCTCATGGTATCCCACTGCTGTATTCCCAACACTGGGGAGGCTAGGGAAGGAAGATTTACAAGTTCAAGGACGATCTAGGTTACAAAGTAAGTTCTGGGCCTGCCTGGACAACATGGTGAGACCTTACCTTAAAAAATATTCTAAGAACTGGTCCCAATATTAACTATCTGCCATTAATAGTCTGTCTTACCACTCCTTAATACCATTAAAATCAATGTCAAGAATGTAAAAAGTGTTTTTTTTAGCAATTTTACATATCTTGTGTGGCTTTGTTACATTTGTCACTTTTTCATTCTTTCTTCTTTGCTTACTAATAGAACTAAAATTTATGCCCATATGCCCTAAGGTTTCTCACGCCCATTCCATAGAACTTAAATTAGACTGACAAGGGAGCTAAGTTAGAATACAAGGTTACATGGTCTATATTAGTTTTTCAGGGGGTAAGGGTATGAAATTGCCTCCTCTATCATTCCAAATACATTATTTTGTTCTTTGATTCTGATGAATTGATAAATATCCTACATATGTATCTGAATTCCTCTGATTTTTCATATATCCTTTTGCCAGATTGTGCTTTTCCTGCAATAATCTTTGCCCATAATTTTCCACTTATTAGAACATATATCTCCAATTTATGACTGATCAGTATGATCAGATTATGTCAATGACTGACCAGTTTCTAGAAGTCTGGCCAGAGGGGGATAGTCAATCACAGGCTTCATCCCCAGCTGAATATATTTCGTAGATATTTACTGAAGTGCAGCAAGTCATTGGCCAAATCTTGTATGATTTTCACATGGAGTTTGCAGGCCACCATAGGGACTGGTCTGACACACTGAGTTACATAAGTCTCTCCAGTTAGCCTAAATTCATTTAGATTTTACTATTTTTGGTCCAAAATTCTTTCTTTCACCATTAAGTATATACTGCAATTTTGTGTTATGACACCACTAATTAACTCATTGTTTTTGTTGTTTTTTTCTGTTTCCTACTCTACTCTTAGACTAAAACATGTCTGCTTTGTTTTCTGCTCTGTACCTGAAACATAGAAGAATGCTTGCCATATAGTACATAATCAGTAACTCTCCTGTGAAGAAAGGAAGGGAAGAAGGATGGGAGGAACAACTTTCACTTAGTCATTCAAGTAAAAAGATACACTAATTCATCAAAACATACAGTCAATAAAATGACAAGTACACCTACAAGTTGTTAAGCCCAGCCTAGGATAAAAAATGAGACTATTGTTTCATGAAGAAAAAAACAGTCAAAATATATGGATAAACTTTCTACTAAAGAAGTAATATAAACAATAAGCCCTTTAAAGTGTACCCAACAACATTAGTCATCAAGAAAATTAATATCACAAAAGTATCATAATACAATGTCTAAACTAACAAAAACCAAATAATGACAACAAATATTGAAAAAAATGTATAAATAACAACCCAATTCCTTCCATATTGCTGGTGAAAATATAAAACAACGGTACAATTTTAGGGAAATGCTTTTCAGATCTTATAAAACTGCCCATGTACTTATCTATGTCCCAGAAATTCCACTCCCAAGTATCTACCCAAGAAAAATAAAAAGTCATGAAGAGACTTTTATAAAAATGCTTATTTCAGCTACAGATATATATATATATATATATATATATGTACATATATATGCCAAGAAGTAGAGAAATTCAGGTTTCCAACAAGAGAAGAATGGAAATATTGGGGTATTAATACAATGTGTCACTAATCATCAATAAAAATAAAGTCTCTGTCGATGGAGACAACAACATAGATAAATAGCAAAAGCATTTACTTCATGCAAGAAGGCAGACCCAAAATGAATGCATACTGCATGTATCCCTTCATATATAATTCTCAAAAATGCAAGAAAATTCAAGGTGGAAAATGCAAGTAAATTTTGTTTGCATCTAGGAGAATCAGAAGTGATTGGGAGTGACAGAAAAGAACTTTCTAGGGTGGCAGTAATTGTCATATTTTAAAGAGGATTATATGTAACTCAAAAACATGCACTGATCAAAACTCATTGATTGATAGTTAATATCTTTGTATTTCACTGTATGTAAATTTTATTCTCCTCCAAACTAACCAGCATAAGCAGCAGCTTGAACTATTGTGTACCATATAAGGTGGCATGCACATAGTCTAGTAAAAGCTCATACTTATAGAAAACCAATTATATATCAAGCACTAAGAAAATGACTTTTCATAGAGTAGTATACTTAATTCTAATAAAATAGCATTGTGAAATTATGGCCAGAAAATGAGAATAAGAGGAATTAAGTAACTTATCTGTAGTTACTTGGTTAAGTCAAGATGCAGAGCTGAAAGTCACTTCATATCTAATTTCTAAAATCCTATGAGAAGCTGGGTGCAGGTATGCTACACCTGTAATCCTAGCTACTAAGCATGCTGAGATCTGAGGACCAAAGTTCAAAGCCTGCCTGGGCAGGAAAATCCATGAGACTTATCTCAAATTAAAAACCATAAAAGAGCTGAAAATAAAGCTGTGGCTCAAGTAGTGGAGTACTAGCCTTGAGCACAAAAGCTTGAGGACAGTGCCCAGCCCTGAGTTCAAGCCCCAGGAACAGCACCAAACTTTAAAAATAAAGTTCTATGTGAGATTGTCCAAATTTAGGCGACTATAGTGGAAAATTTGCCTTAGTAGGATCAAAATCAACATTTCATTTTCCTAAGCAGGAATAGACCTGTGAATGTTAATCTCATTTTCTATACCTAGAAACGGGCCAATCCTAAATTGAATATGATTAAGGCTGGGGGAATGAAGAGAGGTGGCTCAATCCCCAACAGATTAGAATGTCTGCCATCTGTGATGCAGCAGTTTGGGAAAGCACCCATCCTCTGTTCTGTTGGATTGGCCTAAAGGATCATAAATTACTTATCTTTGGTAGACCCAAGATGGATAAAAATTCAAAGCTATATCTTTGAAATTATTTCCAGAAATGTATTTTCAAAGAGGATGTGACTGATCCTGATACAACTAAATCCTACCCTCAAAATGAGATAAATAACTAAATTGATAAGTTTAAATATATCAGTGAGCTGTTGAAATAAAATGCACGAAAATTTCAAAAGCAAAGAGTCCTTTGTAAATGAGCAACAGTCATAAGCATTTTTCTTCACGGCAACATTTGCTAATTCTGGTCACAAGTTGAAGATGAGGCTTGGTCCTGAGGAAGAAGGATTATACTAAGGAAAAGGCTAATCTAGAATAATTTTTGGTAGTTCCAGGAGACTAATAATAATTGACTGGAAATAAATGACATGCAGAGCAAATTTTTATTAACCTCAAATTAGTTGGTTGAGTTGTAGGCTGGCTCCTAGACAGAAAAATCAGAGTAAAGTATAGTCTCCTCCTTCAAAGTTTCCCTAGATTTTGAACTTAGAGGGACATAGGAGAAACTCAAAGGGTACTTTT